AAGTGCGGGTTGGCGGACTTCACATGTCTTTCGAAAACTTGCTAGGTTCTCTCAGACATGCAGGTTTCCTCACGATGTTTTCTTTCACCGTAAGACAAGTGATAATCATGTTAGAAATGATTCGCTTCATTCGGTTTCAGAAGCGAGCACGTTACCACTGGGCTATCACTGCCTTTAATTTTGCCTAATATTATTATTAACAAAGAAAGCTTAATTTAGAGTATACCATTGTGCAATTTTAGCGTTTAATAAATGTTGTAATTTTACTTTATAGAAATTTCTCTGCGAAAGTTCCACCTACTTCAAGAACTACTGAATATTGATTTGTTCGTTTCGCATTGGCCAGGAAATAAGAAAAGTAATATAAAATGCTTATGAAACAAAGATTTATCAAATTCCGTTTTACCTGGATCTAAGTTTTAAAGAAAGATTCCAATCTTAGAAATATATAAGTTTACTAAGTCATGAGAAATAATTATTTGAATAGACTGTATTACTCTATTATAAAAGTTATCTAGAGTCCCGCCCACAAGAGACACTTAATGTACCGGGAAAAAAAGAAGCCTATGTCACTCTCCAGCCCTTTAACTATATTTTTCAGGTTGTTGCATAAAAGAAGGATATATGAACATATAAAAAACCCTTTCGAAAATTTTCACAATACATAATTAGTTTACCGCATCACAGAAAAACCACTGAAGGGATTTTGATGAAATTTGGTATGGTGATAGCTGGTTATCCGAGTCAACATAGATGATACTTTTTACCGCGGGAAAATGTCTCATTTCTGAGAAAAATACAAAAACTACAATGTAAGAGTATACTTATATGTAAAACCTAAGAATTTTGTTTTCGGTCATCTGAACGAGGGCGGAGCCGCGGGCAATGCTAGTAAATAAACAAATATTTTAGGACATTAACACACAGCACTATCTAGTTCCATGGAAAGCTACGTGGCTTGTGTTATGGTTAGATATCATAGATAATATCATTATATTAAGTACCTATTCTTTGCCGTTCATTTGATCCTATTCAATTTGTACTACAGCCAGGTAGTATAAATAATAATTTATTACACAATGAGGCAGAAATATAGAATATAAAGCATCAGTTTCTTAGCATCATCTCTATAATTACGTCTTTGTTGTGCATCAATGTTCTTTTGTTTGGAGCAGAGCTAGAATAATAACAAAAGATGGTAGACAAGGGAAGGCAAACAATAACGTCTGCTATGAAACTCAGATTCAGATGGGGGATTTTTACTCGCGTAGTTTAAAATCGATGTAATATGTATGAAAAACGATATAAAATAAATTAAATTGTAAGTATTATAAATAATTATTATTTTTTTAATTCATATTATACTCTTTGGTATCTATGTTTCACAATAAATACGTAGGTACCTTTATTTTTTCAATACATTTAGCTACTGCAATACGATTGAGTCCTTTTACTGTTCAGTTTTTATGATTGATATATTATTGTAATAATTCAACTCTTTTAATGGCCTACTGCTGCACGGGACGGGGCTAAAATTCAGGCTTTTGGGCTTTATATGTCCATCGAAAATTGCTTAGGTTTTCTCAAATATGTAAATATCTTCACGAAATTTACCTTTACGTATAACTAAGAGGCGAGACCCGGGTTCGAATCCGCTTCACTCCATTCAAAAAAAAAATCTCGTTATGGGCTACCATTGTTTTTTTTTTCTTGACTTTTACCTGTACAATATAAAATTAATAAATAGAAAATATACGACACAATATAAAATTTTTATCACATTTCATTAAGATGCTACTCGTTTTGTGGAATACATTTTCTGTGATAAGACCTCTTCATTAATATTAAAGTTATCATAAATATAAAAATTATCTTCCCTAAGGGTTGTCTTTGGATAGTTTTTCATCTGGCAGACTTAATGCTCGATTAACACACCATAACGGTCAAGCGGAAGCGCGAACGCCATGTTGCCGGGGAGATAGCGGAAATATATCACCGGAAGTCGGCAGCCATTATTCAGGAAAGGAACCTTCCGTTGTCACTTCATAAGTGTTCTTATTTTGGTTTCGTGCTTTGAGAACAACAATTAATTAAGAGGTATTATTTATTCCTTGAACGCTTAATAAAAGCGGTTTTAATTGTGTATACAGTACAGATAAATAAATTTGAGATGTCTATTTGTAATGTCAAAATAACAATCATTTTGACATTACAAAGAGACACCGAGAATTGTAAAAAAAACATAATTTTTAAAATTTTTGTCTGTTTTTTCCGGCTAATCTCTGAAACGGCTGGATTGATTTTGACGGGATTTTCCGAGATACCAGGAGCAACACGGATGGCTCACCGCCCTCCACAAGGTGGGTCTTCTCCCAGTGCGTTTCTTGGCTTCACGCTCGGCTGAATTGCCGGACCTGACACCCTCCACCCTCCCCCTCCCCCCTCCACACACACTGCTGGTGGGCATCTAGGGACGCACCCAAGCGAAGCAAGGACAAATCGCTAGCTAAAAATCTGTTTACTCTTGACCATAGCAAGTGCTTGTGTGACTTAAATAAGTATTTTTAACTAACAAAAAAATGAACTTACGATATCTGACATTAGAATAACTACAGCACTGTTTACACTATGCAAAAAAAAAATAAATATTTAAATATATTACTACTAATATGATATTATATTTATAATTTATAGATAATTTCATAGATATGTATGTGCCCAGCATGTATACGTAGGTAATAGCTATCCACATAATATCCCGATAGTGTGATCCCAAATAGTTTGGACACTCAGTAATTAATCAAGATTTTCAGGTGACACGATGGATAGAATTCCACCATGAGTCGGCTTGATGGCACTGACAAATGTAAGTTGTTACTGTATCTTAAACCCTTGCTAATGTGAAATCAACTTCAAATATTTAATTTAATTACTATTGATAGATTAAATTTTCAACTTTAGAGCTACAGTAGTTATTTAATATATAACATGTACTTGAAGAATATATAAAAATAAAAATGTTATTAAAAAAAATTAAACTGACTTCAATTTTTTTTTACTAAAAACTAAAGAATAACTGAAAGGGGGTTTCCCTATAAATAAATAAATAAATAAATAAATAAATAAATTCTTTATTGACATAATTTTACATACATAGGTGAAAGAATTCCCTAGCCCCTGCGCTCGTTAAAAACTGTATTGCAGGAGCCAGTGTCATCCCCATATGATTAATGACTGGTTTATGCCAACACAGTGATATATGTAGGTAGGTACAGACAACAAGAGTAACATTAAGAAAAAAAAAAAAAAAAAAATTAGCACACAAAAATAATTACAAAATGAAAAAAAAAAAAAAAAAGTATGTGTGTGTGTTTGTGTGTGTGTGTGTGTGTGTGTGTGTTTTTGTGTGTGTGTGTGTGTGTGTGTGTGTGTATGCGTGTGTATAAGTGAGTGTGTGTTTGTAGATACTATATAGCATTTTTTATAATTTCTTCTGTCGCATCGTAATCTAAACTTTTCAGCCAGGTAATTAAAATTTTTTTCAGCTTATTGTTAGGATGTTTCTTAACTTTATATTTATTATTAAAAATATTATAAATACGTGGAGCCACAACAGTGAAGTGCTTTTTAGCAAAGGAGGTTTTAACTTGTGGAATCGGACAACGATCTACCCTTTTAGAGTCAACTTGTAAAGTAGGCACTATTTTTTTATGATATCTCCGGATTGTTTCATAAATAAACATTTGTCGTATAGATAGTACACCAGTTTTCTCATATAAGGAGGTGGTAGGATGCCTAAAGGGCAAGTACAATAACACCTTCAGTACAGCTCGCTGAGCCAGTTCGGCCACGATAAGGTGCGTTTTGCCTGCACAACCCCAGGCACTTATGCAATATCTAATAATACACTCAACAAGCGCCCTGTAGGTTAGGATTAATAGCTGTTTATTGGCAACTGTACGTAAATTTTTAAATATGTAAATTGTTTTCCTGATCCTGGTCGCCAGCGATGCTATGTGAATATTCCAAGAAAGCCTTTCATCCAATATAACTCCAAGATATTTGATGTGGGTAACGCGAGATAGAGTTGCACAGTTGCAAGTGCTGTAGTTCATCGCACGGTTACACGGAAAACCGTGTATTTTGAGTTCTAAACTATCTCCGGGATTACCTGAGACTGATTTACTAAAGCAAACGTACTTAGTTTTGTTGACGTTAATGGAAAGAAGACTATTTTCAAGCCACGCTGTCACTTTAGCTAGGCCAAGTTCTGCTAGTAGGAAGACCCCTTCCCAAGTGCTACCATGGAACACTAGCACTGTATCATCTGCATACATGGTTATATCAAGTCCTGGCAAGATAGTATTGCATAATTCGTTGATATAAATGAGAAAAAGAGTAGGTCCAAGTGTACTGCCTTGTGGAACTCCGTAACTGCATGTGGCATTGTCACTAACATATTTACCAATGCGTACACATTGTGTTCTACCAGATAAATAGTCCTTAAACCAGTCCAGGGCAACTCCTCTTATTCCAACATTCTCCAATCTGCTGACCAATATGGGCACGGACACCGTATCAAAAGCCTTCTGTAGATCTAGGAAAACTCCCAGGCATTTATCACCTTTATCAAGCTGTTTCATCAATGTCGTTGTAAGCGCCAGAACTGCGTCTTCTGTCGATTTTCCTACCCTAAAGCCAAATTGGTTATGATTAAGGAGTCCATTTTTTTCTAGGTAACTGGTAAGTCTTTTGTTAACTATTTTTTCTAGAATTTTTGATAGAGTAGACAGGATAGATATGGGTCTATAGTTGGTAGGATTATTTTTTTCACCAGACTTATAGATTGGGCATACAACAGCTCTTTTAAATTTATCAGGGAAAATACCTGTCTCCAGACTCAGATTGCACAAATATGTTATTGGATTAGCAAGTGACAAGATGTTTTGTTTAAGTATGTTTGTGGTGATATTGTCCCATCCAGGGGCACTGTGCGATCAGAGTCCCAAAACAATGTTTCTGACCTCGTGTGGATCTGTTGGGACAAAAGACATTGAATTCAATGGCCCAGATGATGTTCTAGCTAGTCGTGCCAATTCATTTTCTTTAGTGTTCAATCGATTGAGAATACCCTTGGCAAGAGTACCTCCTATTGAAGTAAAGTATGAATTAACCGTTGCAACGGACTCGGAGGGGGAATCGTTAATATTAAGAAGCTCCTCGGAAGATACCTTATTCTGGCTAATGTTGCATACTTCCTTTATTGTTTGCCACTGTTTTTTAATATTACCAGCATCGTTGATCAACCTTTCTTCATAATATTTAGCTTTAAGACTTTTTATTAGGTGGTTACACGAATTTCTATATGTGGTATATTTTTGTTTCAGGTCAGTGTCATTAGGAAACTTTTTAACTCTTCTATGAAGTCTATCACGTTTTTTTATACATTTAACCACACCGTATGTTATCCATGGCTTGAGTGGACGATTTCGTTTTGAGACTGTTCTTGATGATGTGTTATCTTCGATAAGTAATAAAAGTTTATCTATGAGAATCTCACATGCGATATTTATGTCAGCGGTTCTATAAAGATTCTTCCAGCATTCATTATTTAGACTGTTTTTAATAGCTTCATGGTCTATCTTTAATTTTTGATATGTCATGTCATTTTTATTTACTCTTGCGTTGCTTATGTATAATAGTATAGGTGAGTGATCAGTGATCTGCTGTTCAAAGACAACTGTTTTCCAAGCATTAGAACACTTCACCATAAAATGGTCTAAACAAGTATTATTTCTGGTGGGCAGATTGATTCCTTGTCTTAACCCATACATTGCCAACAGATTAAGATAATCTTGAGTTGGACCACTAGAATTATCATTAAGGGTGTCTATGTTAATATCACCAGTTAGAATTATATTTTGTGTTTTTATGTTGCGTATAACTTGTTCCAGTGAATTGAGATACGCGTTGGTTTTTCTGAAACTCGGAGGACGGTATGAACAGACTAACGTGTATTTAGTGCTAATTGTGACTGTAAGGCAGTTGCCTTCTGTAAACTCTGGTTCACATGAGGAAATGCTGAGTTCTTTGCGAACATATGCCACCACACCATCATTTTGGTTGAGTGATTTCTTGGTCCAAAACATGTTATAGTCATTTATAGAGGGCGGAGGATTGTTTACATTAGTCCAGCACTCAGTTAGCACAATTATGTCTACTTGTATATTTATCGCTGTTAAAAAGGCCAGGAAGAGATCTAAATTACGTTTTATGCTTCTTATGTTAACAGTAATTATGGATAGTGAGTCCTTGTTGATGCAATCTGTTTTAAGTATGTGTGGGCATTGCTCAGAATCACTCAAAGAAATACACTCAACACTCTCAGTCTCGTCAATTTCATGCGAAATAAAATTATTTACTTTATCGAATTTTAAACGTGAGATAAGGGCACTGTTTCAAAGCCTTGTAAATAGCGTTAGCTATTATATGTACAGAATTTAAGATATTAAGTAACATATTATTTTTAGTACGATGAAACATACTTAATCAGTAATCAGATATATATTTTTGAAGTCAGTTGATGATAAGCTTTATATTTTTTATTCACCTACACATACTATTACACAAAAAATTATACTTAAAAAAAAACTTTACATGTTATATCTCCTTTACACTCGTGTAATTTGTAAGCAGAAGCCGCCCTATTCATTTTTAGTGTATGGTATAAATTAAAAAATATATTTTAATTGATATTATTTTTTTCTGAGTCGTTTATTTGATTTTTAAACACTTGTGATTTGACCTAACTATGATTAGACTTAAACTCATTACGTCCTTAACTGATTGTTCGAAAAAATATCTACATATTTATAAGCTTCCTTTTAATCTAGCGAGATGAATAACTATATTACGTTTTTCACATTCTCAACCTTTGACGTCAACATCAATTAACATGAAAAATAATGAACCAACAAACTATCAAACACCCTTTCACCATTAAGATATTGGTAAGTAGTAATAAAATATTATTATTTAATTAAGAATAAAGCCTTACTAATGAAATAACACTCTACTTTGCTCTAGCTCCCTAAAAATGTACTGGCAAAAGTTATAAAATTCCATGCGTCATTGAAATTCAACCATAAATCTGTAAAACATGGTCCATATGTATAGCAATCATATTTTTTATCGCCAACAGTACGACAAAACCAAAAAAGTCAATAAAAAACTGAGTGCTCCCTTGAGGTATGCCTAGCTAATGACGTGTCCTCCTCCCGACACGTGTCAGGCGCGTGGCCAAATAACTATGTACATACATAAGTGCTCCAAGCAATATACCTAAATGTAGATAGACTATAACTTTTAAGAGGATTTTTAATTGGTATCTCACTATGATATCTTAAGCAGAAAGTTTCAAATGGCTACTTGAAATTGCTACACGTCCGTACCGTAGTGCATACTAACTACAGTTCGATTAAATTAATTATAAACAAACTCTTTAGAAGCGCCCTGTTCCTATAAAAAAAAAAAAAATAATAAATATGTTGGGACATTAACACACAACACCATCTGATTTCATGGTAAGCACAAAGCTTGTGTTATGGATACCAGATAGTTGATACACTACACATGTATAAACTATAAATAAATACATATTATAAATATAGACACCCATAACTGGAGCAGAAACATTCGTGCCATCACACATCACACAAATGAATGCCGCCAGCGGGAATCGAGCTCGCGACCGCTGGCACAGCAAGTACGGTCACTAAAAACTGAGCCAAACGAGTCGTCGAAAAGTTGCCCTTTTATAGTTTATACAAAAAGTACTATTTCCCATGTAATCATTACCACTTCTTTTGTTACGTTAAGAAGTTGAAGTCCAAAACATTTTCTAAACGATACAAATTATTGTTAGAAAATGCTTCGTCATCATATCTCGGAGGACTTGGTAAGCAATGTAGTGTTACATTTATTATAATAAAATTTTGAATCGAATCTGTACATTAAATATTTTTGGGGAAATCTTATTAAAATAGTCATTGTTGTCGATACATAGGCCGAATCTATAGATTTTAGAATCTTCGTCTGTCTGTCCGTCCGTCCGTCCGTCCGTCCGTCAGTCAGCTCTGCGTCTGTCTGCTATCCGCTATTTAGAATATTTATATTTGCTTATTGACTTAGATATATGTATGTAAGTAATTTGAGAAAGGGGCCGTTAGTTTTTCTATCCCGTAATGGTATTTCTTTTCCGCCTCAAAAAAAGGTCTAAAGGCTTCAACTGCCGACATATTACAGATTTATAGGAACATATCTCAAATAGATTGCACGTTACTACCAAATTTCTGTTAGCATATTGCAAAATGTAATTTTATAGAGGAAAATGCGTATAATATCTAAAGATGTTCAATAGTGAGTAAGATATAATAATAAAATATATGTAATATTGTATAACTCATATACATATTAGAAAATCTTGTCGTAATATCATGAGAACATATTATAGTAAGGTTTTCAAAGCAAACTGGTTGATTAAATAGCAAAATGAAAGTAAAGTAAGCCGAAAATATTTTAAGATATGAATATTTAATAGGTAAATATGTATTTTAAGTATTGAAATATTATTATTAGTTTTGCTTTGCATCGGCTGGCACCGACTTCGAAAATATCTGATTAGGTATCTATTCTAAACGAAAACCTCCGTTTAGTTATTTTTTACATTTTAGTTCCTGGAAGTCGGTTTTTTTTTAGTTTTTTACAAACAGAGAGTTGTGATATACGCGATAACATCTTTAGCTAATTTTGTTCTATTACGTAAGTTACTTCACTAACGTAGAGTATGAAGAAAAAAATATTGAACAGGATAGGAACATTGGTCAGTAAAACAAGTTTAAAATATATTTTCTGTAGGTCATCTACAACATTGTGAGGACAACTTTGTATGAAAACAAACATTAAACATCGATTTATATTTAGTTACTTGAGTAACTTATATTTAATTTTTGAAAACTAATATTTATCATTTTGTTTTAGATACAGGATGTTTCTAAAATAAATCTAATGATACAATTACAACACAATACTGAAATAACAGAACAAGAGTGGTGCAATGTACGTATTGAATTCGGCAAAATTAACATTCGATTAATGCCAGCAGTAAATAGATACATTTACATATAAATGCAATTATTGAGATTACATTTTGTGTGCAAATAAAATCGTACGTAACACCGCGCCAGTTATTTGGCCTAAATTTCAGTATTTATGGTTCGCAAAAGCGTTTGCCACTAATGAAAATTAATTCCTAATTCTATTCAAAGTGCATCATATTGAATAAATTTTAAATTAATTAAATATCGGCACATAGATTTTATTAATATAACTTATGCTATTCACATTTTAAAGGCAGCAAGTATTGATAATGTACAAAATTTTATTTTTTAGCAGAAGCTAATGATATAAAAACCTTTTTATATTCCAATTTATCTAATATATTATGCCCTTATGTATTAATTTTGAAATGGCACTACATAATTTAATATTACGGTTGTAATGTCGTGAAAGAGTTTGACACAATTGAAAAATTATTTATATCTATGTATACATATAATAAAATTGTAACTAAGCCGAATCTGTACATCAAACATTTTTTAGAAAATCTTATTGAAATAAACATTATTATCGATACAAAGGCCGAATCTATAGTTTTTAGAATTTTTGTCTTTCTGTCTATCTGTTTGTCTGTCTGTCTGTTACCGCATCACGGAAAAACCACTGGAGGTATTTTGATGAAATTTGGTATAATGGTAGGAGGTTATCCGAATCAACATATAGGATACTTTTTACCGTGGGAAAATATCTTATTTAAGAGAAAAAATACAAAAACTACAATGTAAGAGTACTATACTAATATGTAAAGTATTAGAATTTGGTTTTTGGTCATTTGAACGCGGGCGGAGCCGCGGGCAATGCTAGTATTAAAATAATAGTTATTAAATACACATTTATTATTATTAATTCAAAAAAATATATTCAAAAAATTATGCGTGACAAATTAATTGCATCACAAATTGAATAATGAGTGTAATACATTAGCACAGCAGCGGTTTAAGGCGCAGTTATCGTTGATCGTAGATTGATTGATAAACAAGTTAAAAAGCTATAGTTAGGGAGACATAATTGAGCGAATTTCCTCACATTCCCCGCAGACGGAGCTGTTATCGTATTCGTTAGATACACATGGCTTGGAAATTAGGATAGCATTAATTTAATAAAAAATATTTAGAATTTGTACACAAGATATATAATCTGAATCTCCAACGATTTTCATGAAATCTAGTATACGGTGGGCTTCGGGGGCGAAAAATCGATCTAGATTAGTCTATGTCTGAGAAAACACCTGTTCTCGAGTTTTCATGCGGTTTTTTTTCGCATTATTCCACACAAAATATAATTTATGCGTAAAGGTAATTTCGCACATTCTGGCATAAACATCGTGGTCAAACGGCCAAGGCACAAGATCCAATCACAGGTTCGAATCTCGGTCGGATACAAAGTTTTTGCTTTTATTTTTTTTTGTTATTTTTATATTCAAGTTTTTAGCTTTTTTAAAAAAAAAGAAAATCTGTTGGTGTAACTCACAAGACTAACTTTGTAGTACAAGCATAAAAATAACTTTAACTGAGTTTAATGAAATTAACTATATTTTCAGTATAAATTGAGTTTGAACAGCTCGATAAATAATTCAAAACCTAAAACTAATAGAAATGATCGTGTGTCCATGCTAGGGTGTTCAACGTACCGTGCGACATATCTAAAATTAATTCCTGTTTTGTCATTCCCTCACTTTACATTCAAGGCTTAATGACGTTGTGATATAAAGCACTATAGTAAAGCCTTCTACGCAAAGATATCGCGAACGTGCGCGTATTATAAATGGAAAAACAAGGATTTGCTCTTACTGGACTTTAGGATATAAACCAATATTTGGAAGGGGTGCTATTCAAACGCACCCTTTGGTAGTAAAAACGTGTTATACCTATGATTAATGACTGAAACGAGCTTTGGAGGTAGTAATGCACGTTTTTGCTTAGTTTTCTTTATAATTATTATCGTCGTACCATAACATAGATGTTTTTCCCAT